GCTTCAGCACATTTAAATTACACATAACATGACAATGTTTGTAATATGTTAAACAGAATAAAACATTATATTTTTAATTCTTCATCCCTAGTTAAAACCTGACATGATCCACTCCATTCAGGTCTTCCCAAAATGAAACACACAAAACTCGCACCTCAAAGAAGACACCCTGGCAGTATTTATATAGAAAATCTGATTTTTTTTTTCTAACACATTTTCTAAATCACAGACAGTTCGATTCAAATCAAAGTAATGACAACTGAAAAATGTGCTGCCCCCCAGTTAATGTGGAAGGGACTATAATTTCTTTTATTCATTAATTTTTCGACAGTCCCCCAAACTATTTTTGTTGGGCCAGTGACTACCTCACTTTTGACAACTTTTGGTCGCTCGAGCAAGACTTTAACCGCCATTGGTGAGCAGGTGACCGTCCATTTTAGGCACTGCTGCAACAACAAGGGAACAAGGGAAACCTACATATAAAATTTGAGAAAGATGCCTCTGGTACTTCCCGAGAAATAGCGATAACAAACTTTCACTATCAAAATCCAAGATGGCTGCCTATCGGCCATGTTATTTATCTGATCAGACTCAAAAGTTGCACTGCACAGCTAGGGAACAAGGGAAACCTACATATAAAATTTGAGAAAGATCCCTTTATTACTTCCAGAGAAATAGTGATAACAAACTTTCACTATCAAAATCCAAGATAGCTGCCTGTCGGCCATGTTGTTTATCCGATCAGTCTCAAAAGCTGCCCTGCACAGCTAAGGACCAAGGGAAACCTACATATCAAATTTGAGAAAGATCCCTTTGGTACTTCCCGAGAAATAGCGATTAAACTTTCACTATCAAAATCCAAGATGGCTTCCTGTCGGCCCTGTTGTTTATCCGATCAGTCTCAAAAGTTGCCCTGCACAGCTAAGGACCAAGGGGAACCTACATATAAAATTTGAGAAAGATGCCTCTGGTACTTCTTGAGAAATACCGATAACAAGAATTGTTTAAGGATGGACGACGGACCACGAACGCAGGGTGATTTGAATAGCCCACCATCAGATGGTGGTGGGCTAAAAAGTCACACACACACAAAAATTGCTTGAGCACATCTGCTGATTGTTACAAAGGACTAGTTACTTTGGAGTCATAGGGATGACTTGGTAAGTCCTGAGGTTAAGTTTACGCTGTCTACAGGCGGGATCCCGTTCAAACACCTGGTTCATCAGGAAGAAGAGCTGTTCTATGCGCTGGTCCTGCCGCAAATCTTCACCTCCCTTCACAAGATATGGGTATTCCTTCTCGTCATTACCACGAATAACTACACGCTTTGGCTTCCTCATGGATGACATCACCAGAACCTGTTAATATAATCGTGAACTTCATCTTCCGAGACACAAATACATATGTAGCACTATGACTTTAATCAAGGATGCTAATCAATCCATAGTACTTTTTCAAAAACCTTGTTTCCTTCTTCAATGAGGTGACCTTCTATCAAGGATTATAATCAATTACCTGTTTTTCTTCATCATTAAGGTGGCCAACTTCATAGCGGGGGTAAAATTACATCTAGATATACCTTGTTAGCCTCTATAGGTCTTCCCTTTATCTGCTATAAGACATGGATAACATCTTCCCTTTATCTGCTATAAGACATGGATAACATCTTCCCTTTATCTGCTATATAAGACATGGATAACATCTGCCCTTTATCTGCTATAAGACATGGATAACATCTTCTCTTTCAGTGTTTTTCCTGGCTGTTTTGGGATCTTTTTTTAAATTGTGCATTGAGAAAAACTTGCCATGTTGTTAACGTATGATACTTCTAAATGAACAGAATGGTAAAATAAGGTAAAGTTGATGCACTTGAGGGAAATGGTATCACTGTCATCTTGGTGAATATCATTGACATTGTCAGCACCAGAACTGTCAATTTCATCGGTATCATCATAATTTACCATTGACAGAAATCTGATATCTGCTTTATGCCCAAACTGCCCTTTTTCCATTTTTGATTTTTTTGGGTAATTATTCCTACCAATAGAAAAACAATGCTTTGTTCCTGCTCACTGCCTAACACTTCATCAGACAGAAGCTTAACAAGTTGACAATTATCAGTGTGTTTTTAAAGTGAAGTAGCAACCCTGTGGAGATGGTTAAAAGCGTAGGTGATAATAGGTGATAATTTCCTGGATCAATACAACATGACAATATTTTTCAGTTTCATGAAATCTATGCCATTTTGGGAATTTTAGACTTGATTCGGGAAAAGAATAAGTAAATTGCATTTGGATTGGGGTCAATTACTGATTCCAATATAAAGGCAGCAAAAACAGTCTTTAAACATGTATGTAAAAGAAAGTGCAAAAATCCAAAGACTTGTCTACACAGCACTCACCCTTTGGTCAAAGCCAGCAATCTTGACATGGTACTCAGGAAGAGGCTTTGTCAGACCGGTATACTGTCCTGTAGGGACACAGCAAGATTTATTATTATGTTATTTAATACGCAACATCAGCATTGTGAAACAAAAATGTATCATCAGCATGAATGACATGGAATTCTTTATAAAGAAAACCATTTGGCATTCAGTATTATAGTTTGAAAGACACTGCTACCCTTTGTTAAGCTGGTATACAACATTTGGAAATCATATGTGACAGAGATAATAAGATATGCCCAGAACAAAATGTCACACTGACTGACAGAGTCAACCTATATTCCCATCCTGTAGTACTAGTTGGAAACTAACAACAGGCCCAGAGGACCTGTATCACTTACCTGGATATTTAAGTAATCAGTGTAAAATTTCTCATTAAAAGTAGTATTGTAAATAAGATCCAAGGATAAGAGCTGGTACTGGTAGCATATGTGTATCTTAAATCTTCATGATAAGCAATTACACATATATAAGCAATATAGCCAAACTACCATTTTTGCCCGCCTCTCAGCCCCCAGGGTGTCAGCTCCACCATTTGTACAATTTTGAATCCCCACCACTTAAGTTCCAATCAACGGTTTATCAGATGAAGACATTTGAACGAATTGCTGACGAACAAATGACAGACAGACACCACGGTACAACATAAGCTCACCTTGGTCCTTCAGACAAGGCAAGCTAATAATAAGCTTATAGTGCCCTAACAGTGGGGTAATAGTATGAATCTTTAGTCTTCACCTGTAGTGAAATAACTAAGTAGTGTTCCTTTCCTGGTTTGAATTAATCAAGTAAATATCATCCTTCAAGTTGGATAACTTTAAATCTAAATTACATATTTTACAAGAAAATTGCGCTCTGAAAATTATAGTTCTGTTTTTTTACATTACCTGGAATCTCCAAGTTGTTGCCCTCTGTGTTGGGGTTAAAGTCCACCATCCACTTACAGTACTCCTTGAGTGAGGCTGGAGGGATCAGTCTTGGGTTCTTAGGTATCCCCCTCACCTCATGGTCCATATCCTCACCAAGCTTACGGAATATCCCAAAGAAGTCCTTCATCAATGGAAAGTTTCATTAAACTTTAATTGATTAGAAGCTGAAGTTTAGTCCAAAAATTAAATAAAAAATTACTTAATTCCAATGATATTTCAATCTAGTTCAGCATCAAACACATACAAAATACTATTTCATAGAGGATTCAAACTTTCAGACAAAACGTCGGTATGGTATCCCTAGGATGTCACGGTATGGTATCCCTAGGATGTCACGGTATGGTATCCCTAGGATGTCACAAGTGTTTATATGACATTGTGTACTTGGAATATAACTTACTGTACATCAAATTCTATCACATGTATATGTAGAATAGAAATGTTTCATGGGATTTTATTTTTAACCAAATTATGTACCAAGGATGGGATATTTCTATCCCATTTGATTTACATATGATAGAATTATTTTCTTACATTGTTTACCATTTTATTTCATCAAGATGTGTAGCCACCATTTTGTGGCAAAATATTACCTTCATTCTTACTGAACCAATTGTAAAATGATCTATATCACTAGAAAGAGCGTTAAGTTTGCAGATTAGTTTATAGCATAACTGACAGATTCTTTGTCTATACTATCAGTTCCTTTGTCTATACTATCAGTTCCTTTGTCTATACTATTACAGTTCCTTTATCTATATTGTCACAGTTCCTTTGTCTATACTATCACAGTTCCTTTGTCTATACTATCACAGTTCCTTTGTCTATACTATCACAGTTCCTTTGTCTATACTATCACAGTTCCTTTGTCTATACTATCACAGTTCCTTTGTCTATACTATCACAGTTCCTTTGTCTATACTATCACAGTTCCTTTGTCTATACTATCACAGTTCCTTTGTCTATACTATCACAGTTCCTTTGTCTATACTATCACAGTTCCTTTGTCTATACTATCACAGTTCCTTTGTCTATACTATCACAGTTCCTTTGTCTATACTATCACAGTTCCTTTGTCTATACTATCACAGTTCCTTTGTCTATACTATCACAGTTCCTTTGTCTATACTATCACAGTTCCTTTGTCTATACTATCACAGTTCCTTTGTCTATACTATCACAGTTCCTTTGTCTATACTATCACAGTTCCTTTGTCTATACTATCACAGTTCCTTTGTCTATACTATCACAGTTCCTTTGTCTATACTATCACAGTTCCTTTGTCTATACTATCACAGTTCCTTTGTCTATACTATCACAGTTCCTTTGTCTATACTATCACAGTTCCTTTGTCTATACTATCACAGTTCCTTTGTCTATACTATCACAGTTCCTTTGTCTATACTATCACAGTTCCTTTGTCTATACTATCACAGTTCCTTTGTCTATACTATCACAGTTCCTTTGTCTATACTATCACAGTTCCTTTGTCTATACTATCACAGTTCCTTTGTCTATACTATCACAGTTCCTTTGTCTATACTATCACAGTTCCTTTGTCTATACTATCACAGTTCCTTTGTCTATACTATCACAGTTCCTTTGTCTATACTATCACAGTTCCTTTGTCTATACTATCACAGTTCCTTTGTCTATACTATCACAGTTCCTTTGTCTATACTATCACAGTTCCTTTGTCTATACTATCACAGTTCCTTTGTCTATACTATCACAGTTCCTTTGTCTATACTATCACAGTTCCTTTGTCTATACTATCACAGTTCCTTTGTCTATACTATCACAGTTCCTTTGTCTATACTATCACAGTTCCTTTGTCTATACTATCACAGTTCCTTTGTCTATACTATCACAGTTCCTTTGTCTATACTATCACAGTTCCTTTGTCTATACTATCACAGTTCCTTTGTCTATACTATCACAGTTCCTTTGTCTATACTATCACAGTTCCTTTGTCTATACTATCACAGTTCCTTTGTCTATACTATCACAGTTCCTTTGTCTATACTATCACAGTTCCTTTGTCTATACTATCACAGTTCCTTTGTCTATACTATCACAGTTCCTTTGTCTATACTATCACAGTTCCTTTGTCTATACTATCACAGTTCCTTTGTCTATACTATCACAGTTCCTTTGTCTATACTATCACAGTTCCTTTGTCTATACTATCACAGTTCCTTTGTCTATACTATCACAGTTCCTTTGTCTATACTATCACAGTTCCTTTGTCTATACTATCACAGTTCCTTTGTCTATACTATCACAGTTCCTTTGTCTATACTATCACAGTTCCTTTGTCTATACTATCACAGTTCCTTTGTCTATACTATCACAGTTCCTTTGTCTATACTATCACAGTTCCTTTGTCTATACTATCACAGTTCCTTTGTCTATACTATCACAGTTCCTTTGTCTATACTATCACAGTTCCTTTGTCTATACTATCACAGTTCCTTTGTCTATACTATCACAGTTCCTTTGTCTATACTATCACAGTTCCTTTGTCTATACTATCACAGTTCCTTTGTCTATACTATCACAGTTCCTTTGTCTATACTATCACAGTTCCTTTGTCTATACTATCACAGTTCCTTTGTCTATACTATCACAGTTCCTTTGTCTATACTATCACAGTTCCTTTGTCTATACTTTCAGTTCCTTTGTCTATACTATCTCAGTTCCTTTGTCTATACTATCACAGTTCCTTTGTCTATACTATCACAGTTCCTTTGTCTATACTATCACAGTTCCTTTGTCTATACTGTCACAGTTCCTTTGTCTATACTTTCAGTTCCTTTGTCTATACTATCACAGTTCCTTTGTCTATACTATCACAGTTCCTTTGTCTATACTTTCAGTTCCTTTGTCTATACTATCACAGTTCCTGTATATGGGATCTTCTATTAGAGTTCCTGGAGTGATTGTTCACTGTACTTGTCTTCGAATTAACTAGAGAATCTGTGAGAGAGCTCACAAAGATATACGCTCGCTTGTGCTCACACTTGTTTCTAGAGCAGAAATGAAAGTTTCAAGGACCATAACTAATGGAAAAATAATTAAATAAAAAAATTCCTTCTTCATGCACATCTTTCTACCAATGATGTAGTTTTACTGCAGCAAGTTACAAAAACAACCACCAAACAGTTAAGGAGGTATTGCACTTACAAGGTTTCTGGAGCAGAAAATTTGAGTTTCAAGGGCCATAACTCTTAGAAAACTGTTTGAATCACAAATTCCTTTCTCCATGCACATCTCCATGTTTGTGGTGTATTTTTTAATAACTTGACACAATGAAAATCCAACTGACGGTTTAAGAGGAGTTGCACTTACAAGGATCATGGACAGAAGCACGGACAGTCGGATGGACGAACAGGGAGATTCATATATACCCCCACAAACGAAAGTTGTGGCGGGCATAATGTATTACATTAATTTGTTACATAATGAAATAATTACCTTCAGCTTCATTCCAACAAGCTTTCTGCCATCTTCACCAAAATATTTATCAATGTCCTTTTTGAATCTCTGAAAAAAAAAAGTGAATATCTCTATACATTAAAAGAAAATTATTTATAAAAGCCTACATCAACACAATAACCCTGATCAAAACTAGGAACACAAGCCAAAAATTAGATATCTCATTACCTTCACCTCATTCACTTTGTGCCAGGCAAGTCAAAATTGAGTCCACTTGGCCTAGGAATTCTACTAACCAGATTTTATCAAAATTATTTCAGCCGATCCGTTATCAATAACTTATAGACTATAACCTAAGCATACAGTAAATGCTTGTTCTGATTACAGATTATGACGTATTGAAGGAAATTCTCATTAACAGAACAGAGATAAGGTTCCATCATGATGCTGCAGTATGATGCAAAGTGTCTATTACAACAGAAGCAGAACTTACATGTTTTAGGTTATCACAGAGCTGATAAATAAACTTTGCCTTTTAGTTGTTTATCTCCGACTCTAAATCACACCTAACATACAAAGTTTCTTTGATACTTGTGTAATTATTTTTATTACTTTAACAGACTTTAACTTTCAAAATCCAAGATGATCGCCTGGCACTTGTAGTCATCTTGTTATCACAAACAGTCCAAAAGCTGAGCAAACTAAACAAAGGTCCAATGGGAACCTACTAGAGCAAACTAAACAAAGGTCCAATGGGAACCTACTA